CCACCCAACCGGCCAGACCACTCTCCACACCCGCCACCCCTACCAGACTATACCATTGGGGTGGGGGGGCCTGGCAACGCCAGACGCCTGACTATATAATATGTATATATATAACATAATATATATATATATATATTATATGTACATATATACGTAAATATCTACACATACATATTGCTAGATAGAGTTTGCCTTAACATTAACGATAACGGTACTTTTGCCATATCTTCTTGTGCCGTTGTTTTTTTTTCGACTTTTCGAGCTTGTTTTGACGTTCGTGGCTGGCGTGCAGAGTCTGACTGAATACGTGAATGTCCGTGTTGAATTGCATCCGCGGGCGGGATCTGGGGGCTCGGAACATGATGCCCAGTGGGAACAATAGTGACTAGTGATCCTCCAGGAAGATAATGGCGTTTATTCTTGTGATTTTTGCTGTAACTGAAGCCATCAAGCAGGAGCAATTTACTGCATGCAGAAGGGCTGCAGCATCATCCAGCCACCTCCAAAAAATTCTCAGGTGCCGACTGCTTGTCCACTGCGGCCCCACTCCTGACACCCCTGCTGCCTCCTCTGCAGCCCTTGCCGCGCCAAGTGCCACTCCTCCCACTGACGGTGCCCTCCACTTAGCACGGGAGCTAGCACTGTTTTCCGAGTCACGGCTTACATGCTTGCTGATTCGTCCAGGCGGGTTTTCGGACTCGTCATTCCTGCTTTCTGGATTGGCTCATGGATCTCCCAGTCATGGTTTCTAAGTTCCATGTTACCCGGGTCGAGCAGCACCAGAAATAGCAATGTCATAATGTAACAAGAGCGACGAAACTGGAGCACAAGAGACAACAGAGGATTAGAGCAATTCGTAACCACATCGCCCGCAAATTGCACGATTCCTAAGCACAGCCCAGGAGCACCCAGAGCAGCACCTGAATCTCAGCGGGGCACAATAAGGTGATCCGAGTTTGAGGTAACATGAATGTGGGCCAGTGCAGTCGGGAAAGGTCGATACCACAAGCAAGCTTTGTTTCCCAAATCCGGACAACCGCGTGACGCCGCCGAAGCGGTGTCTATATGTGACATTCATGGAGCATACCCAACAACTATCACATCATATGCTGTGCACAGGCCGAGACCCTAATGGAGCAGGCGCGGGTTTATTTTTGACATGCTGTGGAAGATGACAGTGGCGGCGACAGGTCACAGCCTGCACGACCAGACCTGCTGAAGCCAAGGACGATGTCAATGCAAGCACTGCTCGCTGAGCTCGTGTTTCTGTCTTGATTTGGTTGTGTGGAAACGGCCCCATCGGCCCCTTACAGCTTTGTGTTTCATTCCTGTGGTGCAATAGGTTGGGTAGATGCGGGTCGAATTGTAGGATAGCCTTTCCTGGTCAAGGCAATCGGGCTCGACAATCCACGAGGAATTCAAAGACGACCGAGCAAAACCGTTCTACGCTCCGCTACATACTCATTATTCTTAGTACGCCTCCCCCAAGGCACCACATTCGGCCAACCCACCCAACAAATCCAAGCCTCAACCGCCACTCCACAAAGTAAGCTTCAAGGCTGTTTGCCCCTGCTTCCTGCGTTTAGTTTTCCACAACAGTTTTCCAAGACTCTTCAAGAGAGTTGTTACCTGTCCTCCTCGAAGGGCCGGCTTTCCAGAACTGAAGACACCCCCCACGCAACGTCCCTCACTTTCGTTTTCGGCTTGCGATGGTCCCAGATCAGGAAAGGGTGCCCCCCATACTCTTCAGGATGATGAAAAAGGCTTGGGCATACTGGGCAGCAAAGCCGGAAGCCTCAGACCATTGATCACTCGTTCAGTGGCTCAGTACTCAAGGCCCATCATGTTGCATGAAGCCCCATCGACCACGCTGACACTGCCGGCTACTTGCGAGTTTAGGTGCTTGCATTTCCTAGTATTTGTTTTAAGCATGCGCTCATGCTGCCTTCCCTCGACTGCACAATACCTGGTATGTACGCATGCATCCATGCGTCCTCGTGTAATGGCATGTAAACGTACAGATTTGGGGCAGGGCCTCTACGAGCTTTCATGTGTTCCTTCGAAGCAGGAGGTGGTTCCGTTCGCTATAGGCTACAGACTGAAGTCATATCACTGTTGTGCCCCATTCAACATCACCGTCAAGAAGATGTCGTGTAGGAGCGGGATGTGATCGCTCTGGTCCTCCATCTGACGAAGCGATGTCATCCCCCAAGACAGCCGCTAGATGTTCATGTCGTTGTGCCGCTGCAACGTGACCCGTCCTGTGACGAGGCGTGCCATTTTGCAGCCTGACAGAGGAGGCCTTCGTGTCATGCCAGGAGGCAGCTTGTGGCAGAAGTCGGGGGGCGCCAAAGGGGCCCAAGTGCCAAAGCTGCCGAGTCTCGGAGGCCCCACTCGCGACACTGGTGGCCGCCATGCTTCTGAGCTGGCCCAACCTGAGGCAGAAACCGAGCAGAGCTTTGGTTTTGGTTTTGGTCCAGTGCAGCTGAAGGCCTGATTCCGGCTCCTCCAGCTCCGGCTTTGCCAAGATGTTTCTGGAAATGGAGCAGTTCACGCAGGAACGGAGCGGGAATTGCTGGGAGAGAGATGGTGCTGCTGCTGCTTCAGGCAGGCCTGCGGGTGGCATCAATGCCACAGTCGCTGGCGGCAGTGGCCTGTTCATCCCACGATCCAGCTAGCCCATGCATGTTGTTGTCTGCTTGAATCGTGTTCCGCTTGACAGCCAGGTGCCTGAAGATAACCTGCATCGCTTGCATGCCTTCTGCGTGAAGAGTCCGCACCCCCTGCTTCTACCGGACTGCCGTTGCAACACAAATCGAGTGCGCCTCGAGGTGATGAGGATGACGGGGCAAGGCATCAATGGTCCTGAGGGTGTTGGGTGTTCCTTCATCGATGTTGGGCACGTGTGACATGCAGGCTGCGGAACGCAGTCGAGGCCGTAAAGTTGCAGCAGCGCCTACATGTCTCCCTGAAGAGGCCCATTGTGGGCTTGGTGACCGTTAGTGTCAGTGTTCAGTGTTCTTTTGCATCTGCCGCACTGGGCTTATCCCCGATCTTGTTACGTTGGAAAGGCGACTGCAGAGCTTTCTGAGCGAGGTCATGATGAGAAGGGCTCCATGCTTAGTGCTCTGCAGTGCACGGCCGTTGCTTTTTGCCTCTTCTTCTGAGAGCAGGTGCACGCAAGACTGACAGTCAAGGGTGCTCCTCTGAGCCGATGTTCTGCATAGGAGGGCTCTCAGACGAAGACGCGAGAAGCAAGAGATGAACAGGTACAGGTGGCGGTTGCCTCCTCAAGTTGAGTCTTCCTCCTTCGAACCTGGAGTCGTGTTAGATCCCAGGTCAAGTCATGATTGCCCTTCAAGAGCTGGTCCGCGACGAGGCGCGCTGCAGCGCTAAAAGGCCCGTTCCGGTGCCCTCGTTTTTCCTCGGTGAGGATTGGATCCTCCTTACCGAAACCGAGCATGCGGCAACGAGATCTTCGCGAGTGCGCAGTGTCGTGGGACTCTCAGCTTCATCAACTTCGAGCCCGAAGAAACTGCATGCCCAGCGACATCAGGTGAGGGAAAACTTAGTCCTCATCGCGAACATCATGCAGTTCTTTTCCATCCGCATCTTGGCCGCTAGTCCCGGAGAAGATGATAGCAGGCCCTTGCTAGTTGGCACTGCAGGTGGGCACAGAGGCAACTGCCAGGCCGGCTCTGCCAATAAGGGGGCATTGGCACTCCCTCACTCGTACAGTGATTACAGTGCAAGACGCGGGTCTTCATTTGGGGGCCTCCTTTGGTTAAGTGTCCCAACTTGTGTGATCAGTCCCCGCACTTTGTCCGCAACCTTTCGGAAGGGTTGAATACTTCATGCATGATTCGGCATCTTTACAGTTTTACTACTTGTGGCATGGATGCACCGGCCTCAATCCGGACCCAAACGCAAAGGCGCGAGAAATTACATTTCGACTGGCTCGACACCTGCAGCAAGTTGAGATGCTCTGCAGCGACCCGATGGCATGCGAATCGATCCACCGGGGAGGGAGGGCGGTGGGAAATGCAAGATGCTTCTGGCAGCGTCGAATATGGTAAGCAGGCTGAATAGAGAGAGGAGCCACAGAGCTCTGCAGCAGGTGTGCTGGAGTGGCATTGCAAAACTGTACCGGGAGGCGAGGATGCGGTAGCCTCAGACAGTCAGACGATTCTTGTACGTCTCTTGTTACCTTTGCGAGTCGACTAGCCAGGGCAAGCCAATCAGCCCGATTCCAGATCCTGCGTGGCATCAGAGGTACTGTCCCTGTCTCTTTCTATCTTTGCAAGCTGCCCAAGAGATCTTCCGAGAGGCTCGCACGACTGCAGACTGCCAGTCCTGGGCGGAATGTGTTGGATCAGGTGCTCCGTGCAGAGCCCGAGGCAGACTCCCAGGTGGCTATCCTTGGGCTTGGACGAAGTCTCTAGACCCTGGAGTCGATCCGCCAGCTGCCAGATCTTGGATCCAGACGAGTCTTCGCCACTTCCCTTCTTGCTGCTTGCTCGAATGACGACCTGGCAAAGATGCCTTTTGCATTTGTTTGCTCCTTAAGGCCTGAGCTGTCACGCATGGATGGGCTCTGGCCTGACCTTTCTTCAGACCCGCTGAAGAGAGGATCTGTGGAAGGCCCCGTTGAAGCCGCCTCTGCCTCTGAGGCGTGGCCAGGGCCAGCCCACCAAGGACCTCAGCTGGCTTCAGTTGGGCCTCGGCGCGTCCGACCCTCGAACCCTTGGTCCTTGCTGAGTGCATGCGAATGCATGCGACATTTGCGATGCATGACCGTCGGCAGCTTTGGCCCCCAGCGGGCCCTGCCCGTGCTCTGCCTTCCAAGCCATGGCAGCCTCAGAAACTCAGCGAGCGCAGCGACGGCAGCGAGTGTGCTGCAGACATCAGACATGGTATGCTCGACACTTCGAAAGCCGCACGAATGCATGAGATCTCCTGAGATTGCATGGGCAGCTGAGCTTTCGTCGGCTTTGCAATGTGAAGTTCGTTCCTGAGGTTCAAGGAGCTGGCAACTTTGGAAGTTGTTTCTCGTGGTGCTGGCTTTGAGGTGCGGTGTCACCATGTTTGACTGCAAGGGTTGTGCTTTTCTCGGGCCTCTTTGGCCCGATGGCGTGCTGTTCTGGAGACTCTCCTCCTGGTCTGGCGCCTTTACGGCTGGGGCGGCTTTGGAGGCGAGCCCGCTCTCCCGTTCCTGTGCTGACCACGCAACCCACCCTACAGTACATGGATTTCTGATTTGTCTGCATCATGCTGCTTGAAGCTGCGAACATGTCTAATGCCTGTTGCCCAGGGCGCTCACCCAGCAGCTTCCGAGCAGGTCACCAGGCCTTTCTCTCACGCGGCCCGGTGTTCGACAGGGCAAAGTGGATGCCCGTCTTTGCCGAGGCGCACACTCGGGAACAGCTTCCTGGCTTTGGGCTTCACAGCCGCTGCAAAACCAGCTGCTGCTGAAGGCTCACAACGGGTCTTCATGCCAGTTCCGCAGCGAACATGCAAGCCAATGGAAAAGGGAGGAAGGGGGCTGCAACTAATGCCAGGCTACAAAGAGCAGATCCTGGCTAGCAAACGAGCGCTGGACAAATTAAGGGAGGACGAGTGCTGGAATCGCAGCTTTGCTTGAATGTTGAGGGATGAGAGCACTGCATGGCAAATTCGTGATTTCTGAGGTGTTGACTGCGATGGCGATTACATTCGACGTGTGGCAGGGACGGTGGGGACCGTGTCACCTCTCTTCAAGATCAAGGACTCCCTGGCCCTCAGCGTTGCAGTAAAGGCCAGTGCCATCCATTGCAGGATGCCTTAATGGAGGTCTACTCAGAGGATCCACCGAACCTCCCGGACCTGGAGGTGCGGGGAATCCCTGGATGCCGGAACACTGGCGAGATGCCTTCTTGCTGAGGATGTTCTCAAGAACCTGTCGCAGCTGGACTACCAGGCTTGCGTCTGGCCTTTCGTGACGCCCGCACTTAACCTGCCAAGTGATGCTGGAGTCTGGAGGCCTACTGCACAATATTTGCCATCAATGGCGGGCCAGAGAGCTTCAGAAAGTCGCTGGACTGCATTGTCATGCATTGTCAGTGGCCGGGTTTCGGCTGCGGGATAAAGAAGAGCGCCAGAACTGCCTTCTGCTTTCAGGTACATGGCTGAGGCATCAAATGCTTTAGATGTGGTCATCAAGGATTTCTCAGCGCTTGCCAAGGCAGGGAGGACAAGGGCTGTGCAAAGAATCGAGGATTGGCGCCATAGTGGATCGCTGCGTCGCTCATGCTCTCGAGTTATTGGCCAGCTTGAGAACTCTGCCAGGCAGTGCAAACATAACGGCGGTGCGACACACAGCAGGACCTGCTGCGCAAACCTGGATCTGCAAAATCCTGATGACACGATCAGCAGGAGTTTCAGATCTTCGTGGAGACATGATGCTGCCAGCGGCCGCTGCAGTGACGGCTGTTGCTACAAGGAGGAGATGTCGGGCAAGCGGACCAGTCCGCCGAGCCCCAGTGCAAGGACACCGCCGCAAGAAAAGAGCCGAACACTTCGCGTGACTCGCTTTTTTTTCCATGTTCTCTTGCAACAAGTCGATCTGATTAGTTTTTGTGGCTGTGCAGGTCGGGCTTCATCCGCTTCTTGTTGCGAGTCTGTGTGCACCGGGAGGACGGGGAAGATCAGAAGGGATATGGATTGGTTTAGCATGCACTGCTGTATGGCGAGCCGCGAGCCACAGTCTACTTGCTAACTTGTCCTTAGTGTGACTCCCCGGATCGGCTACTGCAATTCATGCTACATCGACGACAATGACAACTGCTTGCTACTGCTAAGATACTACTACTGCTCCTCCTCCTCCTCATCCTCATCCTAAGCCTATGCCCACGCCTGTGCCTACGCCTTTGCCTACCCCTACGCCTACGCCCACGCCCAAGCCTACGCCTACGCCTTCGCCTACTCCTCCTCCTGTACTCCTACTCCTACTCCTATTCCCACTACCACTACCACTACTACTACTACTACTACTACTACTACTACTACTACCTACTACTACTACTACTGCTGCTACTACTACTACTACTACCACTACTACTGCTACTACTGCTACTAC